AATCGTTTGGGCGCAAATCGGAGTGGGGGTACGAATTCAAACTCTGCGAGTGACAACACGTCACGGAATCCGAAAGATATTGGTACGATGAAAGCAGTGTACGAGGTTTAGAAGTGGGTACTGCTTTTTCTCTCTCTTGAACATGGGTTTGGGTATATGGTTCAGTTGATCAGTCTACATGTAGTTTTACGCCCTGTTGTTGTATATCCTATTACTATACTCGTGAGTCCATTCACTTTGATATCTATGAAGAAGTGATTCATATAATTCTAGTTGTATAAATCCCTTTCTAGTCCTGAATGTAACTTCACATTACTCGGTTATCATTGCAGCCGTTCCCACGTGCCAACAAACCCTGGCCACAGCCTCTGACACGATTGACCTCTCTCCTCAAGTAACAATAATATACAGGCTCTGGCTCCCCGCAACTCGAACACATGTTCATCCGGGCGTTGTTTTTATTTTCTTCTTGCCTCACACGCAACACTGACCGGCCTCTGGCATGTATACACGCACAACAACAAAAAGGAAATCTAAAGCCGCATCAAGTCGCTGATGAATTTCATGAAGAAGGCTGCCTATCATGCTCGAGTAAGAGTTTCAATGTTGATAGCAGGTGTCACTAGGATAGGGAGAATAGGCTCTATCATCTCGCCATTCAAGATATCCCGTTGGAATATCCATTTATGTGTCGGACACAGTGAACAGAGTGCAGCGCCCGCCGTTCACCGTTCAAGATCCAACGTCCGACCATTGGTATCTAGTGACCTCACATCACAAGAAGTACTGAGGTGAGCTGAAATTACCGAGCAGATGCACATGGGTTTCACGTCAGTTGTTAGAAGCACACTCCGGCCTGTCGACGCACTACTGGACATCGTTTAAAAGCAATCCCCAGATGTTTCCGATGTCAGGTTAGCCCTTTCATCCCGTCCACTGTCCATTCAAAAAGTCAATAGTCATCACGGAGGGTTCTTTGAACGCGACGATGTCGATGTCAGCACTACCGAACCCGTTCACCCCTCTAGCATGGCTTCCTCCAGACATTGCAAGTCAAGTGCAAGTTGTAAATTTCGTTCTTCCCGCAATATCAGGGGTGTGTTGTTTGCTATCTCTGGTGAATGTTGATGAAAAATGTTGACAATTCCGAACGTTACGATTTCTGTAGGCTTGGATATCGGACTACCTGAATTCGGTGTATGAAGAGTATATCATGTTACGGAAACATAGGTTGGGATTTTCTGACTTTGTCTATGTTTTATCTCGGTAAGTGATTGGCATCACAACTATAATATTTTCTTATTCACAAATTCGTTTGACACCTCTAGTATTGTTTGCTGCAGTTTCATCGCTATAACTCTTCTCTTTATCAGTATGGGTCGATTTTCTTTTTCTCGACTGGGACTGCCTTAAGCTTACACTTTTCAAGCTGGTTCCTCCACCAATGTCAACTGTGAGAAGTTAAATGAAGCTGTCGGCTGGTTAGGAAGTGTCCTCCTTCCTCTCAATTCAATCCTTTTCTTCTTCAGAGTCAAAGCCGTATTCCACGACTCTCCGATAATCAAAGCCTTCTTCGCACTTCTTTGGTTAAGCACCTTTGCAGGAATTTCAACTCCATTCCTAGTTCAAGCCACCAGACTCGACTCTACCAGTCTCTGCGTCGATAGGAATGTGGCACCTTCTTCTTCCGCTGCATTCATCATTGCCGCTGTCCATGACACCCTGGTTTATCTTGCAATCAGTATTCAATTGACGAAGATGAACTTACCTGTGACCCTTTCAAATTCTAATTCGACTTCAAGAAGTCGGTGGACACCTCGATGGTTGCAATGTTTCATCAGTGGAGATGGAATGTCACAAGTGTCGAAAGCGTTGTTCATGAGTGGTCAATTCTATTACCTGTGCGTATATACTCATTATTTTAATGATTCAACGGCGATACCTGACTACCAAAACAGCGCAACAATTGGAGTTAACATCTCAATCTCGATTGCTATCCTCATACCAAATACACCTCCGTTCTATCGAGCGATGTTGACAGTCTCAGATGCCATATTTCAAAATGCAATGGCTTGTCGAGTTCATAGACAATTGAAGATTGGTCGGATACTAGATGCACAATTACAGGTCGATTCATCTACTATTCCACATCATCATGATCATCGGGCACCTCTATCCGATACCAGTATCGACTCTAATACTTCGATCAAATTCGCAAAAAATGGTGTCAAATCTGACCTTGTGGTCTTTTCTAAACACCAGGATATCACAGTGGAGACTTTCCAATCAAGAGATCTATCCTCTAGTATCCTTGATCATCACCAGACAAGTTTAAATATTCAAGTTCGCCATGTAGGAGAGGATGCGGACTGTTACTAGCAAAAGTGTTTAAAGGAGGAGTTGTGGATTGGAGCTTGAATTGGAAATTTAGACGGATAAGAAAATACTAAACTTGTAATGTAAATCATATTGTATGGATTGCGAGTACTAGATACTAGTGTGTATTTTGATTTTTTCTGTCGCGATGAAGTTTTGACGTGCTAAAGTGTAAGGTCCAACTAAATAATTTGTACAACCATGACTCGGATTATATCTAATTACCATTCTATAAAACCTTCCATTTCTTGAAGGCCTTTAGACCATCGGGGTTGCCTTGTAGGCGGAAAGTTTCTCGTCAGGGTGACACCAAGCTTTCCTCGGTCGCGGATTCAGAATCCGTTGATGTGTCCAAGATACCCATTTTATGAATCCCCCAGCCACCAACGTACTTTGGAGACCCATCCCGTATTCCTTCAAGCTTTATTCTTCGATAAAGCCTACACGCCATATTATTGTGAATCATATTATTATGAACTGGTATTGAATGTCGGACGATATCTGAAATCGAGGGAGATAAAACACATATCAGCGTCGTGATACTGGATGCGGCGGTGATTCTGTAAAGTACGTTTAATATACAAGCTAGCTACGCATAATGCGACAATAAATCCATAATACTTACAGGTAATAGACCTGTCCACTGACAACCAAAGCCTTTGCAAGATCTCCCATTTCAGCTCCACTGAAGAATGCCTTAAGCTCGCCGAGGTCACTTTTCCTTTTGGATGTCATGGTTATCCTGTCTTTAGTCAACTTGATCCCGACGGCAAGATACATGATTGTATCGTGCACCATCATCATGGCAGGGCCTGTTGAAACATACAAGTCGAACATGGAGATAGACCGCACAGTGATATCTTGAAAGACACATGTTTTAGTGTAGGTATTGGCTAACACAGTACTATTCGTGTTGGAAAGAGTCGGAAGTCCGCCCATAAAAAAAGGAACACTGTATATACCAAGGGTTCCACACCAGAGTACAGTGAGAAGACGGCGTATGGTTGGGGAAGAGAAGAACACAGCTCGTGTTCTCAGGAAAAATATCAGAGCATTGCAGGTAGTAGCGAATGCACCAATCCAAGTTCCAAATTTGGCGAGAGCGTTACAGTCATTTACAGGTCCGGCTAACCAAAGGTGATCTCAATTAGATGGAATGCAGATTGAGAGGACACGGCGACTTACTATTGAAGATCAGCATGGAAAATGCCGCAGCACCGGTGGTGAGTCTAAGTAGAGAGTCATGGAAACAGTGAGTAAAACACTAGTACTTGATACCAAGAAATAGAGTTATAGGGAAACCTACCTCGATAGAATATATATTAAGTCGCACATCTTCACACCGATATTGACCAAGATGTGGACCTCTTCACTGAGTGAGTATAAGGCGTCATACATCCACGTCTGCGTTCCGCCATATATTAGGAAATGTCGGTCTGATGTTTTACAAGGACCGGACGTACACCAACAGTGAAGCACAGAAGCATCCGAGATACTTCGATCTGAGCTAGCGTCGTTGCTAGTTCGTCGTGAGCTAAGAGTGGGAGTGGAGAGGAAGCGTTCATAGAAGATGCTGAATGTCGCACTGAATTTTCGCTCTCGACATTGTCGTTTTGAGTGTAGCCAGTCGTATTTTCTTCATAACCGAAAATATTGTAGAATGATGAAAGCACAGCTTTTGTAGCATAGGCGTTGCTCATTGTATACCGACGGAAGCTGCGAACTTTGATCCCGCCCGAGTCGTATTAGAAGTTGAGACGAATCATTGTAAATTATGTCGCGTAACGGCCAGTAGAGGTACTCAGTAGCACCGTTCATCGGGCATAGTTAGGTAGTGGACCTGGGGGAAAAATAATGATAAATCACTTCGACTTGGTTGAAATATGGGTAGATGGACGCGAATACGTACCAGAAATTGAGATGATTACAAATCAGCCCGAATCAACCGATATATCCTCAGCTCCAAAGTTGAAACATGCACATGCACGTCGACCGTTAAGAATCCTGAGTGAAACCAGCATGCGCGCAGTTTTATCCACATGTCATCGGTAACTTGAAGAAAACGCGAGGATAGATTTCTCCCTACGATTTGAGGGACTAGATGGTAGGGACCATGCGAGGAGCGGACAGAGTGTGCGTACAGTATAACTCTGTGTGCCAGATAATTTACGCTCGGACTGTGGCGAGTCAAGAATGCTGTGTGCAAGAACATCACAGAAAGATCTAGACAGCTACAACGAGCACATCACGAGAGTGCAAGGAAGATAAATTCCTTACAAATATTAGTTACGACTTAGAGAAAACATTTTAAAAGAGTACTGTACTTAAGTGTTGACTAGTTGACTCAACAAATGAAGAACTTGAGGAACAGACGAGAAACTCGGTAAGGGCGCTTAATATGAGAACTTTCTACTGAACGCCAGATCACGAGACTTTCTGGGTCTCACTTTCAATTCTTGCTGAACGTTCTTGGGATCCTGGAGATGCGCGAGAAGAAAATGTCGTTGCGCAATGTGCATGTAAGTTGAAACTTCTACGGCAAAAATTTAATAAATTACATATAATTAGATGAGATACACAGTCTGTAATTATTCATATAAAAATATTACTGGCATCCCAATCATGGCGAAATGGCCGAGTGGTCCAAGGCGCTAGAATCAGGCTCTGTATATCTAGTCCGTAAAAGGGCGTGGGTTCGAACCCCACTTTCGTCATATCAATTTTTATCAATTTTGTTCCCATACGAGCGTTGTCTTTACCTTGCATGCACCGGTTAACATTGAACTCTGACACTCTTCGCTAAATCTCTCATTTGTTGTGGCTTCACGACGTTGGGATGGGGGACTATAAGTCCACGAAGGAAGCGTTCGTGTCTGGCATGACTGGCTCGTCTGTCGCTCATGTGAACCTCATCTCTCTCGTCTCCCTGGTGAGCTCCGTCCTCTTCTCTTTCAACCATGTCTTACTTCTCTGTAGACGTCGGTAGCACTCTACTCTTCTTTGCTGACTAGGACCTCTCTCATACCCTCTAAAACAACAACGAAACCGACCCAAACAACCACCGTTGCATTCTCCGTCAAAGTCTTCACATCTCAATTCATCATCCTCATAATTCCAATCCTTCTCTCAGTAACATTCTTTGCAAACTCACCTTCAATCTTGTTCTCTTTCTTGGCGTTCATCACTGTTGTTATCGTGTTTCTAGGGAAGAGAAAGGAGGATTTCGAAGATGGACACCAGAGATTACCTTCTCCTACTACTTCTGCAGCGGGAGCAAAGAGCAAGAAAGAGGACGAAGGGAAGGGAAGAGATGGAAAAGGGAGAGAACGAAGGATCATCCCGTTACCGTTCTTAACAACATATAGAGCTCATATGCTCATTCTCACTTGCATATCCATCCTAGCAGTCGACTTCCAAATCTTCCCTCGGCAGCTGGCAAAGTGCGAAATTTGGGGTGTTTCTTTGGTGAATTCCTCCTTTTATTTTTCGTTGTCAGATATTTGCTAATGTGTGGTCATTAGATGGACTTGGGCGTAGGATCATTTGTGTTCTCTCAAGGCTTAGTATCGGCTCTGCCAATCATCAAATCTCCAACATACCTCACTGAACCAATCATACCCAAACTCACTTACACTCTGCGGAAATGCTTTCCTGTTCTACTGTTGGGTCTGTTGAGAGTGATAAGCGTTAAAGGAACAGAGTATCCAGTAAGCCCTTCCTTTCTCTTCCACCTCAATCGTCCCCCCTTTCTCTTATCTTTCCTCTTCTCTTCCTTCTCTTTGACACCATCTCATAGCTCTCATTTTTCGCACACAGGAACACGAAACGGAATATGGAACACATTGGAACTTCTTCATAACACTCGGCTTATTACCGATTCTTCAAATCTTCTTCCATCCGCTTATAATCTGGTTACCTATATCTTTCCTAGGTGTTATCGTGGCTATATGTAAGTCCTCTCTTCGTATACTCTTCTTCTCTTCTTCACTTTCTATCATCCATTCTTCTTTTCTTGCTACCTCTCGCTCGTTTTCCTCCACTACCCATTACCAATCTTTCACTGCTTCATTCATACCCCTTTCCATGTGCATATTTTCAACAACTAATGGCATACGGGATATTCACAGCCCATCAAATCGTCCTATCCTCCTATGGACTAAACTTAACTCAATACGTGTTGGCCGAACCTAGGACCTCGATTATAAGCTCGAATAAAGAGGGTTTGGTTTCATTGTTTGGTGAGTTTTCGTCTTCGTCTTGCGTTGATCGTATGCAGGAAAGCGTATCGTTTTTTGTTCGCTTTTTCTACTTGTTTGGCTAGTTGAGAGCGGAGGCATGATAAGGTGCCCTCGATGGATTCATTTCATTTCCCATCCCCTGTTGTACGAGCAATCGGGGATTAATTTTCTGTGAAGACTTTCATAGTCATACTCATGCACGATCTATTCCTTAGGTTACCTTTCGATTCATCTGTTAGGTCTTTCAACAGGGACATTGATTCTACCTCCTACACCTTCGTATTTCAAGCGGATTCAAAAGAAACTTCAACGTTCTTCTTTTAGAACATCATCTTCCTCACCCTCGTTATCGTCTTCTTCCAACAACTCGAGTTCTTCTGCATCAATTAACACCTCCTCTTCCCACTATCCCGCGCCTTCCAGCTCTGTTTCAGGGAATAGTTTGAGACTAGATGTGAATGGATTAGGTGGAGGAAGAGGGGTCTCTTCAGCTTCAGCCTCAGCAACCGGGTATAGAAGTCGAAGTCCTATCTCGCCAAATCTTAGTCCAATTTCACGTTCACCCAGTTTTGGAAATGTTGGGTTACCATCAGTGAGAGTGGTTGATGATGGTGCAGAAGAAAACGTTGAAGAACGACAAGTAAGAGAGGGAGGTCATATATCTCCCACCCCCACTCCGCCATTATCTCCCACATCTCCCATCTCTCCCTCCGGTCCATACTCACAGGTAGAAGGTGAAGAAGCTGACGATGACGAACAAGAACCTTTGAATGATAAAAGGGAAAATGATAGGACTGCTATAGAACTTTGCTCATATTCTATCGTTTATTGGAGTCTTTTCTGGGTTTGTGTCTGGATTGGTGTTGGGAGACCTTCATCTTTGACGACGGACGGGGTGAATCCAGGAGGAGCAGCGGGGAGCGTTGTCTCTAGGAGATTGGTCAGTATTTTCCGTTAATTAGAACAACTCGAAGCTGATTACCATTGTCTGTTTTCATCCAAACGGTTATTAGGTCAACTTACCCTATATCCTCTACACGACATCATTCAATACTACGTTCTTATTAGGATACCTCCTTCTAGATCTCTTCTTTTTCCCTTCTCCACTTTTGAAATCTGTTTACTCTCCTCGATCGAAACTGAAAGTCATCCATCATCATGGAGGGAGGAAATCTAACGTGGGGAGGAGGAGAGAAAGTGGTGAGGAGACTATAGATGGTGGTGATGGGAGAGAAGATGTGGAAATTACAAACTGGACAGGATCATCGCCTGAATTGTTTGAAGCTGTGAACAAGAACGGTCTGGTTTTGTTCTTGCTCGTGAGTCTTCTTCATACTCCCACCCCCATCTCCTTCTACTAATAAAACGAAAATATAGGCAAACATACTAACAGGACTGATAAACCTTTCCATCAAAACAATGTATGTTCAAGATTACATGGCGTTCTTAATTCTTGTTGGATATACCTTTGTCGTTGTGGGTTTAGCTTGGTGTTTTAGAGGGAGGAAAATTTGGCGGTTTTAGGGAAACACATTGTGGATTTTACAGACAAGCATTCAGTATCGCACAGGACACTATTATGTAGATAAACAATATCCAGCAATTAATTTATTTCAACGATCGACACAAGGTCGGAACTGTGGTGTGAAGAAGATTTACTCGTAGAAGATTCGGCCAACTAAAAATATTGACGAGAGGGGGATTCGAACCCCCGCCCTTTCGGACTAGATGGCAAGATGTTCAATCGAAACCTGATTCTAGCGCCTTAGACCACTCGGCCATCTCGCCACATCAACGGAGTGTCGACTTGTTCGTAGTCAATTACTTATCTTACTTATAGCCAGTGTAGTTTACCTTACGTCTATTACTTCCAATGTCCATCGTCCTTGGACCGGCGTGACATAGAATTAGAACAATGGCATACTTAGCTGATACAACCCTCCCCCTTTTTCAATATTAAAATCAACCAACTTGCTGGCAGTTCAGTCCATATCGACTGCGATTCTCGAATTCGCAGATAGTCTCTGGTGACGACACCCATACTACTGGGGAAACGACTTACAAAGATTCCACCATTCGGTAAGTGATTTCACCAGAGATATTCCATGCCGAGAGTTTACAAACACACAGAAAATTCACATTCTTGTCGATTGACTTCGAATCAAATTGCCTAAAAAAAACGGCGGTGCTGTCAGTTGAGTTGAGTTCACATCGCCGTGCCTTGCTCAATCTACGGGTTGGAAAGCCACAAAAAAGCTCATTGAATCTGAATGGGAAAATTCTGGAGCTCAAGCGGTACTCTACAAGACAGCGAGCGCAAGTTGGTTAGCCTAATATTAATATGCTTTCCTCTTGACAGGATCACAATAACAGGATTATTGAAATTACAGTGCCTACGAATGCAAAAATCACCGAATTGCGCGTTCGACGCATCTCGTTGGAGTCAGAAAAGAGATGTGGTTATCAATCTGTGTACCGCATTTTTATCTGAGAAGACTCACAAATTCATTGTTAGATCGAAGAAGGTCTCCTCTTGGACACAAGTTCAATACTCAATTCAGGGTATTTTTCGATTGAGGACTCTCAAGGCCTCAACGTTGTGATTTACAATTGCATTGTTCGGATACTTCCAAAGCTGTTCTATCAGTACATGCATCGCTTCTAAGTGCTAGTGAGTGAATACACTGTACTGTATTACGCAAATCTCGTGGTTGATGTTCCAATATATTTTTAGCAGGCACTGAATGTCACAACGTTATGAGCGACATTGATTAACGAGTAGCGCAGAAAAGCTCATTATGCTATTTCTTCACCTATTTTGGTTCAGCGGTTTTTCAATGGTTAAATAGGTACCTCTCTACTTGTTAACCGCCGTCGTTTATCTTACCTAGCTCACATCACCTCTCACTTTGTAGGCATTTTCCCTTCTTATTGGACTGCTCGGGTGAAGAATTTACTTATATCTCGTCTTCTGAATCAGTGTTTATTATCAAGCGACAAACAACTCCCGATCTCTAATAGATGTCAGATCTCAGCGAGATTGCTCGAGAAACTTCGTTTATTAACTATACTCAACTGAGTGCAAATCGTAAGCTTTACTTGATATTCCCATGTCTATAGCTAACCAATGGGCCGAATTCTTCTTGCTATATATTTTTTACTAGTGTTATGCTTCTACGATCTCTTGATCACGTTTGACATGGAAGTCAACCGAATATGGCCCTCGCGGTTCACGGCAATGAAATGTCTATTCTTTATCAACCGTTACCATCGTCTTCCCAAATTAATTATAGATGCAATCTACACGTATGCTCCTACTGCTCGATTTAATACCGTAAGTAAAATATTATACCCTCAGATTCCATTCACCCCCGTCTGCTAACAAATGTCTCTTGTTATTCCAGTCGTGCGTTTGACCTTGTTGCATTCATTTTCTCGAAAGCCTAACTATCCATTATGACCAACTAACAAAATGACAGTGCTTTAGCTTGCAATGTTGGATTCATACTTCCTGGTGTCGTTGATGTCATTGGATTTACGGCCACTGCGGGTAAATATTCTTGTTGCTCTAGGGGGACAGGCGATTGCTCACTCATGTTAATGCAGTGTTCAGCGCTCTGCGTGTTTTGGCAATATGGGGCTACTATAACCGATTTGCACAATTTTTGTGTTTCATTATCCTTGCGGTCGGTTTGACAACTCCCTCCTTCAACATCGTAAGTTCCTTTTCGTAATATTCTACCCTTGTACTCAAAATGGACCGTTTCTTACTAGTACCGAATGACGGTTATATATTCCTTGTCCGATCAAATACAACTTCCTCATATGTCACTTTGTGAAGTTGTATCTAACATTTCACCCGGGAAGGCCAGAACGTGAGTGTGCTATAGGTATATTCTTTACATCCTGCTCTTCCTCTTACTTACTATTTCTTCTTCCAGTCGTGAGTAGCCAACCAATCATAACACAGCGGAAAACTTATATCTGAGGCTCTAGTCGCTTTGTTAACTCGATCATTCGCACTGCTGTGCGAAGTCATAGTGCTTTTAGCTACATGGGCAAAGACATACACTGTTTGGAAGGAATCGAGAAGCATAGGGTTTCATGCCCCGATAACCACACTTCTCCTTCGAGATGGTAAGCTAGTGATCATTCCATGCGGTTCTACTATGATATATCTCAGTTGTTAATTTTTTGCACCAGGAACTGTTTACTTCGGGCAAGTTTTCTTTCATCTAGCTTTATTTCGTCTATAGGATACTCATTCGTTCGTTCACAGTTTTATGGTGATGATCAACATTATTGCTGTTGTTCTCAATGTTATTCATTCAGTATGTTTATTACTTGGCCTAGGAATAACCATCATACGTACCCTTTTCTAAACCAATTTATTAGCCGGATAGTAATGAAGCCACCACATATTTTACGTCGTACGTCCATCAATATTATGCCACACATTTTTTTCTAACTACCTCTTTCATTGTTTACTGTAGTTTTTCGTCGATCTTGATATCAAGAATGATGTTAAACCTAAGAGAAGGAACATCAACTTCTTCAAGTGCAATGATGAACCAATTCAATCGCACCAGTTTGATACTAGTATCGAACGGCTCTCCCCCCGCGCTCGCGCAAGATGACGTTACAACAATCATCTTTGGACATATAGGAATGCCTATATCCTATACCAGACATGAGTCGGATTCTGAATCAACTTCGGAGGGGGATATGGAGTTGATCGATAGAGAGCAAATTGTTGGGAATCCGTTGTCTATTGGATTGATTCCATCTGTCACTACTAGAAATGACTTAGAGGCTGCTGAGACTCAAGGGACGAAAACATTGTGACTTAATGGTTTCGAAACACTATTAGTGTATGTACTTGTATAATTATGAGAATGTCTTGGTCGAATCAAGTCGCTGATCCTCCGTCACTTATCCCCATCCAAATCTTTGTACTAGAGCAGAAGGAGAAGAGTGTATTTGGAACCAATTTGAAACACAATCATACCATCGTACGAGATCATTCAATCGTTTTAAAGTTGTCGGTCCGGCGTTTCATTTCAAGGCAGCTCTGAGTTCATACCACTCACTTCATAAATCGGTGTAAATGAGATGTAATGATTTACAATAGATATATATATATACAATAGATTTACACCATACGGTTTTAAAACGCAATTGAAGTCAAGGATTGCAAAGTAGGTCGGAAGATGAATTATCAAAGAATTCTGAGGGGAAGCTGAAAATGAAATCAAGTCCGTCCAGTATGTCCGATCCTCAGCAACCCTTTCTCCGTCAATCTAGGTAACTTCTCCCAAAAATCATATTCATCCAATTCAGGACCATCGCCATACTTGGATTCCCAACTCCTAGGAGGAGTCAAAACCTCAACAGCAAAAACTTCCAGCTTTTCAAACCTCCCCTCGTCTAATAATGTCCTCTCTAATGCCTCCCAGTCAAAACAATAATCAAGCAGATATTCATCTTGACCTCGTATCAATAGATATATGGAAATTTTGGTGATACTGCTGGTGTTTTGTACTCGGTATATGGGAGACGAGTGGGAGGACGAAGAAGAGCTGGCGAATGTGGCAACAGTGGGAGTTAAGGCGGGGGAGGTAGTGGGAATCGTAGAGAGTAGCCGAGTGGGATAATTGCATGTCAGCTTGGCTCTGCCAGATGAAACGCAGTCAGGATCTGATACGACCATTCCCGCTACGTCCAGTCGTAGAGTCAAAAGGTCCAATTTTTTGCATTCCGTTAATCCGAAGTCTGTCCAATCGATTGTTTCTATATGCAAAAGACAGTCAGGAATATGTAACGATGAAGAGAATTGGAAATGACATACCAAACTCCTCTATTCCTATGGCCTGCAGATAAGGAGTTAAATCCATACAAAACCGTCTGAGATTCTTTCGTCCAATCTTCCGTATGATAGATGACACTGCATCAACATCGGCCTGCATATCAAGGGATACTTTTAATTCTTCCAATGTCTCGAAACTTGGAGGTCCATTTTGAGGAGGGGAAGAAAAAATCATATCTATAGGGAAATCGTGTGACATGATTTGATCCAAGATGAAGTTCTGTCCTTCTGTTAACGTCGGTAGGGAGTCAACAGAAGCGGTGACGTTGTCTGCCCAGAATGAAGGTGGGTGCAAATACCACATCTCGAGACGAGAAATTGACGAAGCTGAGATTAAGGACAGTATCTCAATGATGTTAGATACGCGATCCGCCTTATGTCCACAATGCTCAAGACTGAGTAACTGGATTGGTTTGGGGAAATTTGATGGACCAGCCATCAACGTTCCCCCTTCTCCGTCAACTAAAACTTCGTCTGGTGATTGGAACATACATTGTTGGTGTTCAACGACACACTCATGCATGGTAGTGTCCTCCACCGGGCTAACAGCACCTGCGTAAGTCAATGGAAGTCGTGGTGAGGTGGTTTATAGAAGTAAAATCATTGAGAAGTGGCTCACCAGAAACAATCCAGCTATCGGAAAGCTCCTGATGAGCAAATCGGACTCCAAACAGATAAAGCGCTTCCAAATTCCTCAATTTTCCAAAAACCATTCGTAGCAGGTGACTACAAATCTTTGGTCTAGTGCTCGGTTCAGACAAACGTCCGTCGAGACATGCTATTCTGAAAGTCTTGACATATCCCCGTAATGTCGAAGTCCCTGATGTGGGAGAGAAAAATCTCTTCAGAGATTCATGGCATGAAGAATCAGTTGGTGGTACGTGAATTTCGATGGAGCTGAAAAGATGGTATCGACTTGTAT